CTGAGCGGGGAGTCGGTATGCGTTGGCTCCTCAGATCGTGTGTCTGTGTGCGGGGCCGGCCGGGTGCAGGTATTCCTCTGTGAGCTTCACCGAGTGCTGTCTGTGAAGGAGGGCGGGGGGTTCCTGAGCTTTGCTCGGTGCCCTCCACCCCCGAGCGGAGACGTGCCGCTTCCTTCTCTTCGTTGTTTTCCCCTCCTGATGCTCTTCATCTCAAGGCGAAGCCGGAGGGAGGCGTGCTTCGTTTTGTCGCTGAAAGGGACTCGGTGCCGTCGTTGTTGCCTCCCTTTGCCCCTTAACAGGTGTTGCTGTGTCCTTGCTCCAGCTGTTGAAATAGACTGGCAGGGCTGCTCAGGGAGGGACAGCAGTCCCTTCAGGTTTTTTTTGGGGGGGGGGGGGGGTTTCCCTGGCTTCCGTACTTGTGAGACAGCTGGTATTTTGTAAGAACTTGCCACGATGGTTGCTAGCTTTAGTCCTGGCTTTTTATTTCTTTCTGATGATGCTTCACTGCTTGAATACAAAGACTGAGCTGTGCGTCTGCAGCGTAATCCATGCTGTTAGAAAGTATTGCTTGGATGACTTTCTTATATATGCATGCTTATATTACAGGTAATAACTTTCTAGGACTAATAACTCTTAGCATAAGCCTTCTGTAACATTCAAGGGTGAAATCCATTTTAAATAGCCAGTATACTGTGTGCATAGTATACCAGCAATATTGTTAACCAATAAAGAATTTGATATGTGACTTTTAAAGTCTGTTCTCTTAACAGGGGCATATCCAAATATTTGCTTTAAGTGATGCATTCTTTATGGAACCTCGGCTTTTGATTTTATTTCAGTCACGCTGCCGATTAAAAGCAATCAAACTTGCTTCTGACTTTTGCAAAGAGTGTGTGGATGAATTGCTGTATTAATCTAACCCAGTGTCCTTTAGGGATAGTATCATGTCTGTCATCTTACTGATGTTCAGGGAATGACAATGTATATTTGAGGATGATTTCCTTCTAGTAAAATTGGAGACCCCAATTTACTCTATAATGAGGGCTGGACTCTGTTTTTAAGTAGTTTGCCTGTTGAATTGCCAATGGAATTCT